GAAGAAAGCTCGGCACTAGGCTACATCAGCATAGCCTGGCCATCAGCCGACATGACCAGAACCCTCTGATGTCGGTATATATGGACGCCGAGAATCATCAGTTCGATTTGGAGAATGTCAGGATCATAGGCAGGGTAAAAAGTCGAAAAACACGCGAGTTCATGGAGGTTTGGTACTCCGGGAAGAACGCAATCAACAGACACTTAGATCCAGATCCTGCCTATGAAGCACGGAGGGTCAAATCAATACTTCGCCCCAGATCAACAGCACAAAGGAACGTCACTGAAGCAAACTCTAGCTAACAGTACGCAAGAGCTGACTACACGGTCAGCTCATGTGGACCAGTCGACTCCTGACGTGCGAATCAAGTGATCAATAATCACTTGGATCTGTAAGTGACCCGCATAAATCGTACTGATGATGTCGTCTAGGCTGAGGATGAAACGTTTGCCGCCAACTCAGCCAGGTCGGAGAACACATGCATACCCTCATGGAAGTGTATCGTTACGGTGAATTTACTTTGGCGAAGATACAAGGAGTCACCGAATGTCTAAACATGGGAAACCTACGCTATCCAAAGGAATCACTGCGTAAACCTGGTACGCGAAGATAAAATACAGCACTAACGGGATCTAGCTGAGAAATTCCTTTCAAACCCCAAGCTCCTGTACAGACACGTTAACAAGCTCCGCAAACTGCAGCGAGGAATTCCTGCCTTACACGCGTTATGTGGACTCGCACAAACCGCAACCGAGGCGGCCAACGCCCTAGGTCAACCATTCGGCCCGAACTTCCAGAGCACGACATCGCCGCATACACTGTTCCCGCACGTTGTACCACCACCAGGACTTAGCCACATCACGTTTACGACTGCGGATGTTATGAAAAGACAAATTGCCCTGCGCCAGCATACCTCTCCCGGCGTTGATAATATTTGTCCAAAGGTGTTAAAATTGGATGCAGTAAATTTGGCGGACCCACTCTCCAAGTTCTTCTAACAATGCCTCGATGAGATGCGGGTGCCAACAATGTGGAAGCAGGAAATCGTCACTCCCATGCACAAGGGTGTAAGTCGTACAGATCCGGCCAACTATCGCCGGATAACACTACTTCCGGTGCTCTTCAAAATCATGGAAGCGATTGTTGCCGAGGCGCTCACGAACTACTTCGAAGAACGTAATATCAGAGCACAAGAACAACATGGATATCGCAAGAGCCGATCTTGCACTTCAAATTTGATAGTTGCTAGATCCAGTTGGACTGAGACCGTCGACAGCGGCGCAGATGTTGATGCAGTATATCTGGACTTCTCAAAGGCCTTCAAGGGTCTCAACCGCCGTATTCTCCTTCACAAGCTGCAGTGTTGTGGACTTTATTATTTATTATTTAATTGGTGACCCAACCCTCGGTTGGATAGGTAACTTCTTGCTTCAACGACATCTGAATGTAAGAGTTTGCGGCGTCATCTCTGACCCAATCGATGTTAAGTGCGGAGTGCCCCAGGGCTCAGTACTTGGTCCACGACTATTCCTGATTTACATAAACGATCTCACGACAATAATCACCTCCAATTCCTTAATCTTCGCTGATGATCTCAAGATATGGCGAGTCATTAAAACAACCAGCAACAATGCAGCACTTCAGGATGATCTTGACAGGGTCTACGAATGGTCCACTCAGAACCTGCTTCAGTTCAACGCTACGAAGTGCAAGGTGTTGAGCATATGCCATAAAGCAACTTGTGAATACTGACTGGGGAATCAAATATTGCAGCGCACTTCAACGGAATGCGATCTAGGCGTGATAGTGCAGGAAGATCTGGGCTGTTCCCGTCAGGCCGAGAAAGCTCCCAAAAAAGCTAACCAACACCTTGGCCTTTTTGCGGAGGGCATTCGGGCGCTTTGATCCTTCCATCTTTTCTCAGATGCTCAACGCCTACATTCGGCCTCCTTCTGAGTACGCCATCCACGCCTGGCAGCCATGGCAAAAGCAAGCCTTTACCGCTCTTGAACTGCTACAACGAAGGGAGACCAATAACCTAAAGGGCCTGTTTCATCTCCGTTATCGATTGAGGCTGAAAACCCTCGGGGTCTACAGTGGACAATATCGACGCCTGCGTTGCGACTTGCTAATGACTTATATGATCTTGAGGAATCTGAACCATTCTTGTCGTCATCTACTAAAGATGAGTCGCAATACAACACTCAGAGGACATCAGCTAAAGCTGGCCACACAATACAGCCGGTTGGAATGCCGCCGGAATTTCTTTTCCCTTCGTGTGTGACAACACTGGAACGCTCTTCCCACATGCGTTGTTTATTTCCCACGTTAACAGTATTCAAAAGACGTCCGGATGATTCGCTTATCCACTTACATTACGTTATATAATCAGTGATATCTACGTCAACCAAACGCGACCAAGAGGTGCTTATTCTCAGCTTTTGTGCTTTACTACTTACACGCTGCTGTTGTGGAATATAGTTTCCGATATATTACAACTGCATTCATCAACTACATCAGTCCAAGAAAGCGGCGCACGAGTAAGCGTCGTCGTTTCTTTTGTTCTTAAGACATACCCTCTGCATATTACTACATTAACAATTCAATACGCATTCTAAAATGTTTATTTGAAGAAGGGCATCTGAATCACCAGCCGCTTAAATTAACGATTTACGCTTATGTTTTCTTTCACTTTAACCATCCTACGGGACTTGTGAAGCAATCGCTTTTTTAGCTGTAATATATCATTGTTCATTGTTCATTCGAGGCAGATGGCAGGGTTTATCTTAAACTAAGGTCAACAGATAAAACCTGGACTACAGTAACGCATTCGGCTGCGAAAACCGCGAATTAGTGTTGAAATCCAACTCGGTGCTGGAATACATCTTTCCCTCGTTCTCGTGTTGAGGAATTATTTGGCCGGTCCTAATCAGGTTACCCACTATGTAGGCAGAAACTGCTCGCCCCTAATCACAAACACCGATGTTCTTCAGGGAGCTATTCTGTCACCATTTCTACTTTCCACATATGCCAGTTCAATACCAGTCCCAGGAAAGGAAACCCTACTGAACTACGCAGATGACATTGTTCTGGGGGTCAATCAATCAACCAATGCCTCTTCACTCAAGCTTTGGTCAAAAGCCCACGAGCTGCCTCGTAAGGTGTCGAAATACAATGTTGTCTTTTTTATTGCACAGGGGAAATCGACATCAACTGCTCCTCCAACAATGCCCGGAACTCAACATCCATGGCGAGAGTTTGCACTCTTCCACATTAGTAAAGTAATTGGATGTCTTGCTTAGCTACTAGTTATCTTGTTCACACCATATAAACGAAACGTTCACAGAGTCCGAATATTATCGTTCAACGCTTCATGCCTGCGAGCTTTATCTGTCTCCCATGAGTTGATACTTCGCTTTGTCATTACCTGTGTTCTTCCACACTGGACGTACTGCTCACCAGTAGTATTTTCCTGGTCTGTTGGACAAGGACTTTAAAGTAATCTCCAGATCGTTAAAACACTTGTCGCGATGCAGCGGTCTATCGAAGCTGACGTCCGTTGATATACTTATATCCACTCATTTTCCTTCTTGCAAGAAACTAACGTCAACAATGCTTACAGACACAAGTCTCCCTCCAGTTCGTATTGTCTGAATGTGTTTTAACCTCGTCAACTAGACAGGAGTACAAATCCATATTTGACCGTACACGAGCGTACCGTGCGTCAATTATCCCCTACCTAGCGCGATTTGTGCTAAACCAAAACAAAGTTGTCCAAGAATTAACACACGGGGTTATGATGCGATGGTGTTATTTTATTCAACTATTGATCCACTTTGTTGAATTTCATGCTGTACCGCTGAAAGGATGTTTATGTTACGACTGCATATTCACCAGTTCTCTGGGTGCAAAAAGCACTTTGTTGACTTCGCTTGACTTGACTTGTATCGCTCCGATTTCGCTAACCCTGAAACACGCCACATTCCAATCTCGATTGGTTTTGCACCCAGCGATCTTCGGACATCGCATTGAAATAGTTGCACTTTGTTACATGAGAAGGGTACTACTCACTTAGGATCCCCACCGAGGCACAGAAATCGGTACAGGTAGGCAGGCAGTTCGAATGTTCTTTACAAGAACTATTAGCTGCACTGAGTTGTGAAGATGTTTGCATGGTACTTTCCCATGTCACACAACTTTACCTGTACTACATCTTTCTCCTGTCACTTCATTGAAACGCGTTTTGGCTTGTTCGTATGTATAATCTTTACTGTTGAAAATTCTTTCCCCGATCCATCTACAGGACCTGTTAAACAAATTATTTTTCATCCATCATAAACCGTTGCTTTTTTTCTCTCAAATCAACTGGAACTTGTAAATCCCAGCGGACATGGCCGACGAAAGTCAAACACTAAGCCCTAGTTTTCACATTGCATTTGATCGAGGGTTTTTAGCAGAACATTCCAAGTCAGGTTCCCCTCCACACGTCTCGATAAGCAGTGGACGGCCGTTTCGACTTCTAGGAACAAGTCAATAATGCGCATCACTTGGCTCCATTAGGAACCGAACTCATGGCCTCTAGAAACTAACGGTTGCGCCAGTGGCCAACAGCTGACGCAATTAGGCTATGAGGGACGGTGGCGCACAGTGATGAATTACAAGGTAATTGCAATGCATTGCGACCTATCCTCCAGTGGGATGCAGAGGATAAGGCTCACCAACTGGGCTCACGAGTTCCGCAAAAAGCGATTATGTGCGACCACATTTAGGAAACGATAGGGAAAATCTTTTGCATTGGTGTGGATAGTTCCGGAGTTATTCGTCAAAATGATGACGAAAGGCTCGACGCGAGGGTTGATCGCCGAGGCGGACTTGTCTGTACGCTACCCACAACCAACCAATACAGAGTAAATGTGCCACTTTCGGTTTGTGTTAGCGTGGCCGCACTCGCTTGCAACTGTGTTTCCATAGTGGGAAACTGAATCAGCATACATTGCAGGTAAAGGGCTTTTTTGCTGGTTGCACTGTTGCGGCACAATTCGTACAATTGATCCTACAATCAAGGAGAATGGACTGTGAAGACCGCCGTGGTTATCGTCAAGGTGCGGGAGTAACGGGAGCAGGACTGGCCGCTTTGGTTATGTCATTGGGACGGATCGGCGCGTACAGAGCGAGTTTTTCACGTTTCGGATTGAATGTAGCCTCGGCTAGTTCCGATACCACTCTGCACGGTAACTTTAACTCCAGCGGTTCGTAATGTCTTGTGCAGTCCAAAATTGTCAAGAGGACAGTGTCCTACAACACAAAATATAAAGCACATGTTAACAAGGCTGCGATTTGTATGATGTGCAATTCTAGGGCGTGAAATTCAGATAGAATTTGGGCTTAGTCGGTGCGAAATAGGTAAATCTGCGCTAAATTATTATGCCAAGATGAAGAGCACTGTTCTGCTTAAGAAATCAAGTTACATACAGTGAGAGATTGCACTTGAGATGAAAAATCTCGAACGAAAGATAGCAACAATTATGATTGGGGTGCGTGACAATATGGGAATGGGGGTTCATACTGAAAAATGCAAATAACACGTGACTTGTGTAACCACCAGTGGTTACAAGAAATGGCCGGTGGTAAGCTGATTAGCGGAAGCGTAGGCGTAGAAGATGCAACGGGGGAATGAATAGAAACCGAGGAGCGTGAATGCAAAAGGGGGCTCAAATATAACTGTTCGGTAAGCTGCACAATTTTGTCCTTACTGCCTCGTTACCAATTGACCTGGCAACGTTAGCATATTATTTGTAACGAAACGGAACGATGAGACGCACCCATAATGCCACCTTGATTAATAACGAGGAGATTGTAATAAAATTACCAAACGCAGCGAACAGCTCAACCGACAGATGATCAAACAGGACCATAGGTATCTGCTTCCATATCAAACCATTTAGTTGTGATCAGCGAGTAAACTAGGTACAAATGAAAACGCATCGACACGCAAGGTAAACCTTGGTATATATATATACATATATATATATATATATATATATATATATATATATATATATATATATATATCGTCATCGGAATCATGGCGGAACAGGAAAACCGGATCGGAACTAGCAAACAAATAAAAACAGGCAACCATTTTGTCCAGTTTTCCACTCGCGGTTTTTTAGTTTTTGCATAGTTCGTTTAATTAGGATAGGGAAAAGAGAATCACAACAACACGTAAAGTCCACCACTGACGTCGGTCTTGAGTCATGACTTCCACGGTTTCCAACCTGCGACACTCCGTATCTCTGGGATCCCAAACCAGCAGTCGACAACAACCGACAAAGGTAGACAAAGCTATCCGCGACCTCCAGTATCTCTCAGCACCAATAGCAAGTAGTAGTACAGACATTTGCCAGTCTTGAAAAAGAGCTATGCATTTGGATGGGGAAAAGTGACTGACATACGTTTATGTTTCAATCGCCAAGCAATTAAGTGAAAGTTGGACGGTCTGTGGACCGTCACCCTGCAAGACGACATCTACAGCGTAGTCCAAATCAACAATTCGATCAGCTGTGAGGAGTTCAATGCTAAACGATCATTCTAGAACATTTCCGAGGAAATCCTCAACGAAAAAGTTGAAGTGGAATGGAGATAGGGCATCTTTGTCGAACCCCACTGGTGACAATACAGGCGGAATCTTGCCATGGGCCATAGCTCTACCCGATGTCAGACTGTACAGAGTACGCGGTACGGAAACGAATTTCCCGCAGACGCCAGTCCTCAACAGACAGTGCCATAATGCAATCCTATTGACAGAATCGAATGCAGCACGGATATCCAGAAACACGAAAATCGTTGGGTTTTGATTCACCTGGCGGAGTTCCAGGATCCGATGGAGTGTGAAAATTTGATCGACGCAGCCGGAACCATGGCGGAACCCAACCTGTTACGCTGTAGCGAATCGCGCATTGGGAATAGCCTGCATAGTGTGGTGAACACCGGAATCTTGCAGACTGCGGAAACCAAACTTATACCTCTGTAGCTGCAGCACTTTGTGTGCAAACTTTTTTTGAACATGGAGACAACTATCCACTCAAGCCAAGACAATGGGGCTCCTCTTTTCACCAGACTTCGGAATAAAGCGGTGAGTTCTCGAACCAGCTTGCAGACACTATCAGAGTCGGGGATTTCATGACGCTGCAGTTGGTTGAGTTCTTGCCAGATTTCCTGCTGATGTAGGATCTGTAGGGATAGGCTACTCAGCACCAGTGCACGCTTTAAAGGAAGTAGATGGGACAGGCGGCCAGCAAAACTGCGAGCCAAAATGTTCAGCCTATCGTTCCAACCGTCGTTCAAGAGTAGTAATCCGTGATACATCTTCTTCGCAGATTGTTTCATTTACATCAGATCGGAAACCTTCGGGGACCAGAATGAGATAAGATTTCTGCTATTACCCGCGAGATTAGCAAGTTCCATCTCTCTAGCACTTTCACACCATCAAGCTTCACGGTCCTTAAGCAAACAGCTGCGCCATTCTCGATTCTCCCGTTGTTCACTACAGTTGGCATCGACCGTGAGCAAGCGGCGCCTATTAATCCGTGAAAAGGAGACAGCTGTGATCCAGCTCTTCAGCAGGGGTGACGGGCAACTCTACAACTATTAACGTTGGCAGTAACTAAGGCATCTTGAATGCGCACCCATAGTGAATTCAGATCATCGTCAGAAGCGGAGGCAAGCAGTGTTGACAGAGAGGCGTGGTATTTGGTTAAGGTTGTAGAATGTTGTGAATGTTATAGCTCTGTCGGCAGTGCATACGCCTAGGCGATCCTCAAAAACACATGCAGTTCTTGGCTCGGACCAATGCGTGATTAGAGTCCAGACAAGTTGAACAGTACGATCGGCAATCCGTTACACTTCCGCGCCATCTCTAGCTTATTGCTGTGTGGTCAAGCTGAGAACACGCGTTTGTGGACGCGGACGCCATGTAGCAGTCTGCCTTTTCGAATGCCGAAAAGTGGTGTCAGAAAGAAACAAGCGATGATCAGGACAAAGAGTCAGTAGCCTGTCTCCATTGTCTGATCCACTGTTACCGAGCCCAAAACTAATCCCAAGCTGCTGTGCGCTTGGTGGCAGGCGGCCCACTCGTGCGTTGTAATCTCCTGCAAGAATGACAATATCAGACTTTTTGACGAACGAAGAAGGTTAGGTAGTTGTTGATAAAAGCAGTCCTTGACTGCATCCGGGCTGTAGTCTGCAACAGCGTATGCGGAGACGACAAATAAGGCACGTGAAACATCTCGACGCCTAAAGAATAAAGAGTTCCAGCCCAATGCAGGCTATCTCCAACTGATGAGTCCCAACCAGAACGAAACCGCGGTCTTGGAGTGCCAGTGTTGGGATGAGCAACACTATAATGTTTCCATATTGACGCCTACTTAACTTACATGGACCTCATAGTCCGACCGCGCACAGCCAGCTGTTGACTGGAATCCAGTCAGGCATATCTGTTTCAAGTCTGGCACTCAGTGCAACCCCAACATCAGCCTGGTCAGAAGCGGCAGCCTCTGTCGTCAGGGTTTGCCGGAGAAGTTATTCTCATGATGGTACTGGATTCTTGCAGTCTGGTTTCCGAAAGTCAACAGATGTCTATCGAGAGCGTCTCAAGAATGCGGGCTAGGCAAGCTTGCCTTCGGATCCGCATCAGAGTGCGAACATTTAACGCTGTGAGGTCAAGTAGGGAACCAGTTCGAAGAAAAGCCGGGGTCTCGGTGAAGTGTGAGAGGCTGTGATAGCTGGACATTCAACACCAAGAGTTCGACTCTTACTTCCATCAGGCACAGCCAGTGAACTGCTGTTGGTGGGAGGAGGGCATAAGTGTAGTGGAAGCACGGGCGTGGGATGATCTACGAGTGGAGGTTGAGCAATGGAGACAGTAGAGCCAGTAGACATAAAAAGAGCGAAACCAGAAGTAGAATCTATTCAAGTCTAGTCAGTGTGCATGCTACTACCCGGCTGCCCAGGCCGTAGTAGTGGCAACTAGAGGGTTGTCTTGGTAGACCCTACCACGAGACTTTGACCAGGTAGCTAACCTACAAGGCAGCAGGGACATCTGAGGGTGTCGCAACGCGTTGGGAGCGGGTGATCGAATAAGTAATTCAAACTTCTTCACTTCCTGCAAAGGATCAGGGGCCTACCACATCCTAAAATTGCAATAACACTGAGATAGGCAAGGAAGTGCGACTTTATTTAATGATAGTCACATTGTTGTTAAACCGACATATGTGGTTTTCTATAAGGAGAACGCTTGGCAGGCGAAAACCCACCATATCATGGAACACCGCCGCCGAACCAATTACTGAGTCGGAGTAAGCCCGGAACACCCAGCTGGCACCACGAGATTGTTCGGTAAGCCAGCAAAGTTATTTTATATCAGTGACCGAAACGTGCCATTCCACATGATTACTAGTGAAATCCAGAGCAAATTCACGGCGTCAATATAATAACCAGCTTAACAATAGCGTCACATTACAGTTGTTGGCAATATCGCCCTGGCTGGCATTCGCCCTTTGTACACCGTATTTGTCAACATTATCCTTCTCATCTCTAACAATGCCCCCGTCCACTTTGTGGTTAAAAGTTTAACAAATTTACGCTGCCCAGTCTAATGTAGGCCGTGGTGCTAACATAGGTGCCAACATTCTCAGTATGTATGGACCCTCATGGCATCTATGTGGAGGAATACCGGCACACACAATTCCAGTGTGGGTGGAGGTGCACAGTCAATCACCCATGAACTGCTCATCGTAAATAAGAAGCCAGTTCTGATATGCTTACAGTGCTCATTGGCTAAATGGCCTAAGGAATGAGGTTATCTGCACCATTTCTCGGCGAAGTTGTCCCCTTGGGCAACAGAATTAATCTTAACGACAAAAGAGTTGCGCTGAGGGATATATAAGAAGAGTCTTTCCTCTATTACTTTGAGCCGTGTGTGCGTGTTAAGCCCGGCAACCTCAGTCAGTAGGACCTCAGACGCACTAAGTCCTAGGAGTGCAGGTGGGACGCTCCAGCTCCTACCAAGGACAGTGTCAGTGACCGATGCACCATGTGGGCCTTTGTTTCTCTGTCCCAGGAAACGATTCCCAACAATTAGAACGAGAGCAGCGATTTGAACGACGATCGGGTTGGTATAACGAGTCACAGCCAGATGCGTTTGCTGTGTGATTTTGAACGTGCAGTTCACCTAAACGCAATGGTTGGCTTGTAGGTTCAGCACTCGAGAGAGGTGAAGAACGTCATACTGAAGA